CACAGGAATTTTAAATTTTTGCTTTGAAAATTTTTTGAATTTTTAATTAATTCATTTTTGTGCCTGGTCAAAACTGTGTGTATGTAGTACATCTTCAAATAAGACAAGCATGCTGTGTATTCTTTCCTTTCTGTCATATGATAGGATTTGGGAAACTGTTTGCCCATTCCTGTTACCTTTTTAAAAATATTCCCAGTTGAAAAGGTCAGACTACAAAATATAGTTTATTCTTCCTACCCCCTTCATAGCCAGTAAATAAGTCAAATAGATACAAAATAGATACAATGATATGTTGTATCTGTAAATTCCATCTCTAACCTCAAGGTTAGAAAATAAATTGGGTTACAGAATAAATTCCAGCTGAAGATATTACATGCAAATAAACCTTGAACAACATGTTCAAGACTTTCACGAATCACTTTAGAAAGATTTTAGGGTTTAACATACTTTATAACTTGGGTGTCAAAATCATGCTGTATTTTATCATTCGTTTATTCATTCAGCAATTCAGTTACTTAAAAACAAGAAATATAGTCCCTGTACCTATTAGTGAATGTATGTTCTGCTTTCCCCACATACCCTAGATATTTAATAAAAAGCTTTAGATTTGAGCCCTGTAAATGCCAAATACAATTTTCCTCTTATTAAAGTATGTTCTTATATTTGTTTTTAAAAAATCAATAAGCATAAAATAAACCACTGCAGAATCCATTCAAAAAGCTGGGGTTTTTTGTTTTGTTTTGTTTTTTGAGAAGTCTGACCCCTAGTTCTGGAATTATCCAAAACATCTTCAGACAGGCCAATAAGCAAAGGCACTTTGATTATGTGAAGGGTTGCTGAGTGTGCCCAAACTCTGTCAATATTTTCTAAGAGAGAGCTAGAAAAGAGTCAGCCAAAAGCAGTAATTGAATTGAATTGTTACTTAAACAAGCATTATTGATATCACCCCTTTAAAATTCTGTAAATTCATTTGCTGAGGACGGTCCAAAAATGCAGTGTAAGAAGAATGAATTGCCTGATATCCCCACTAAGAAAAACTATTAAATAATAATAATAACTAATGTAAGACTTTGACATTTTGACATCAACTATTTTAATTGACCAATAAATAACCTGACCCTGAGGCAGTTGAATGACTTTTTCCATCATCACACAACTAGACAGTGGCTGCCCAAGTAATGGAAATAAATTTTACCTTTGTTCTTTGCACTCATACATAACCACAACTTGCATATTACTGTTTCCATCATATAACCATAAAACATTCTCCATTTTACTCTGTGTCTTGATTTGGATGACAGATAATACTATGACCTTATCAACTAGCAAAAATCAATAAACATAATAAAATGCAGGGAAAAGAGAAGGAAAAAGTAGGAAAGCCTGGGTAAAATTTGAGATGATGAATGGAGAAATAGAAGCATAAAAATAAAACAAAAGAAAAGATAGAAAGATGGAAATTTGGGGGGAAAATATGATAGAAATAAGCTGATTTCAAAATATGGGAAGGAAAATAAAGAGAAATGATTCATAAATTCAAAACGATATTTTTGAGAGTCATGAAAATGTGAGACTCAAACTCCCATATTTGATTTGCATGACTCACTAATAGTTCCCAATTTTTAAATTTGGAAGAGAAACCACAAATAAATTGTGGAAATATCCATGCCTATCCATAAGTGATAGGCAATAAAGTAGGCATTTTAAAATGGCTTTTTCTAAACCTAAGCTATTCCAAGTAAGTGGCTAAGGTATACTTGCATCTTCATTATCAAAATTGCAGACAATGAAAAGCGCAATAAATATTAAATTGAAATGTGTGTCCTTATATGGCTCAAATGTATTACATCATAGTAGCAATGACTGATAGGCTGCAGAAAGAGATCATTGATGTGTGGGCTGCAGGTGAAGTGGAAGTGCTAATTCAGAGGCTGGTAATAGTAACTGGTCCCACAAATTTCCTAAATTGTGTTCATATGAAGAACACACTTAAGTGGGTTATTTTGTCATTACAAAATACAAATAGAAAAGACTCAGATTCACTCACATGGCCACCTATCTGACTTGTCCTTGTCTGCTGGGGACCAGCACATGGACCCCTGCCATAGTGCATGCCCTCAAGGATATTGGTCTGGTGTGCAACACCTTCTTGCAGTTTTCTCAGACACCTGAAGACTGTGTTCCCAAAGTTTGATTTGAAGTCTGAAGTTTGGTTTCATGTCCGTTGGTAGGATAGTTGCTGTGCTGCTAGGGTGGCAAAAATAATTTCCACTTTCTCCTCCCTGGAATGCACTAACACCAGTGTAAGGCATGCAGAAATGTTCAATTTATATATGCTTCTGTTTTATTCAGAAATCACTACAGATGTGTAATATCATCAGCCCTTTCAAAGATGGTGTGTGTATCTGTGCTTATGTATATGTGAGTGATTGCTGGCATGCACGTGAACCCCCAGGGTTATGCTACCAGGTTGTACCACCAATGAGTCCAGGCACAACGATAAAAAAGAGTGTCATTTAACTGCCTTCTCATATGTAAGTCTTGAACAAAAAAGTTTATATTCACATATAATAGAAGTCAATGTTTTAAGGTTAGAGTAGTTTTGAATTAAAAAGACAACAAATAACACATTAAGCATCTGTACTAGAAAAATATGTGCAACTCAAAGTAGGTGTTGCCTTTGCTTAAAGATAAATTCAAATGTTGTGAAGCATTAGATGAGTGACCTTCAGCGTGATAACTGTACCAGAAAAATGGAAACACTTGTCTTGTGACATTGTTATAAGGATGGCATGAGCTACTGTATACAAAGTGCCTAGCATAAGACTTGGCAAAGAGTAGACATCCAAGTAAAAGAAACTGCTGTTATTATCATTATCGTTACATACGCACATGTTCTCAAAATGTTTGAATTTCAGAATTTGGCTATTGGGCATTTAATACTTTACCTCAGTAGAACGTATGTTAGTGGCATAAGTCTGAGGCATGGAATCAATGGGATCTATAAATGTGTGTGTAAAAATGAATAAAAATGAAGGTAACTACAGTGGTAAGATGCACAACTCTAACCACGTGTGGTTATAATTCCCCACAAATAAAACTGTAGATGACTATACTAAAATGAAAAATAATCTAACACATTCTTTGCCTTTGATCACCTTTACTCCTTCCCTAGAATGTCCCCTTTTTTAATTGTTGAAATTGTGTGGGTTTTTAGCACTCTCTTTTTTACAATGTACCTTCTCTGATTGCTGGACAAACAGAGTACACCATGCAACTGGTGCTGTTTGACTGCTGTTTCATGTTTATGTATACAATTAACTCAATTATATTATGAATTTCAAAAGATTGGCTTTATTAAGGTTGTTCACCCAAAGCACATTCTAAGCTAAAAATAGGTAATATTTGTTAACTGTAATCTTATGGACAAAAGTCAACAGCTACAGAAATTATCATTTTACAAACAACCTTAGAGGAATAAGCAAGTGAACTTCTGAAAATATGATTAGTAAGTTGGGTAGAATTTTGAGATGACACACTTTGTTTTCTGAATAAATAGTTAAATTGTGTGATTTGCTTATCCTGTACCTTCTTCCTGTGACATGATGAAGAAAAGGAATTGCAGCACACATGAAAGACTAAGCCATATGCATCACAGCAATGCAGATACTCAAAGGGGAAAATGCAGAGAGGTGATTTTTAGTCCCAGAGGAAACCTGGGAAGCACAGTAAGGACATTAGTCCCTGGAGTACAGCTCACCTTCAAGGACCTCCAGGAACAGATAGAAACCTTAATAAGTATTCCAGGGAGTCAGGCTTTCCTGGGAAAAAGCAAATTAGTGTGAGAAGCCAGTACTGTGCAATTTCAATTTTAAAAATAGCTGGTATTGTTAAACCTTCCATATGCATGAGAAAAAAAGAAAGTCCTTTGTAATATTTGCCTTGGCTTCCCCACATTATAATAGAAAAACTACACTGAAATTCTTGCCTGGCAAATATTGTGAAGATTATAAGGTTGGTTTTGCTTAGAATCACTTTTTGGTCTTTTCAATGACAAAGTTTTTGGGGAAAGGGATTCTGTCCCCCCCCTCCTTTTTAATCAAAGTCAGTCTTTGGATAAAGGACAGGCAAGTAATGGTTCTGCCTTTTTTACTTAGGAGCAGAGCTGTGCCTCCCTGGCTATTTCAGCTCTTCATTTGCCTAATTGCACTGCCAGCCTGTCAGGGACTTTCCTGCAGCATGGCTCTGCTGACTGCAGGGACCCTACCTGGCACTCTTAAGTTGGTGCGTCAGCATTTTAGGTTGGAATGAATGAAAAATCAATCAGGATGACTGCAGTGGCAGCATGCATAATTCTAACCTAGTTTGTCCATAATTTTCAACTATTCACCATAGAGCCAAGCAATGTTTAAGATGGTAAGTAAATCTGTAACAAACTACTTCTGCTTAATTGGGCATTTATTTTTTTGCCCTCTTTTCTATTTAGAACAAGTAAGACTAACCTTCTTAGGAAGCCATATGTAAAATGAATGATAAAGTCACCTTTCATGCAATATTCTTTATTTCCTGTGGTTTAAGATTCAGTTCCTAATTAGAACAGGTGATAAATATTCATGTATAGATATATCAAATTGTTATCATAATTTGTACGTGAACTCAGAGAGTTAAATTTTTTAAGGGTGTATGTATGTCCTTAGCACATCTCTTTGCAACTTAATATAACTTTTTGTCAAAAGTACAGTGTTTTAAATTTCTAGATTTACTATTCTGCAAAGATAGAGTTAAACACTATTTGGACTCTGACTGCCTAAGGGGAACTAAAATTCTTCAAAGCTGCCATCTTCAGCTCTCAAAAACAGCTACAGTAACTTTCTGAACAGATTGGGTTAAATATTTTTACAGACCCATTCTATGATGATAAGGCGGTAATAAGTTGTGCAGTGCAACACTCCAAAGGGTTCCAAATCTCACGAGCCTCTTTATATGTGGTGTTTTCACAGTGAAGAAGGTTCTTTGAGCCATAAAGATGAAGAGTCTACTTCTTCTGGTGCTGATTTCAGTCTGCTGGGCTGATCATAATTCGGACAACTATACTCTGGATCATGACAGAGTCATTCACATTCAAGGTAAGAAGACTCAGGTTCTCCTATGAAAGGCAAATTAATTTCAAGTTACTTACAGTTGAGATGCTAGGTTAGTGGTCTCTAATTTTAATTTTGCTGCATTGATTTTTTTTTCTTTCCCTATCTGCTAATTAGTGAACATGCTCCCTAGCTTTTGAAATGCTATTGCATTACAAGAGAGTCAAGACTTGGAGGCAATTAAAGTTGAACAGTTTAAGAATGTCCAACTGCAGTGAGTTGATGCAATCAACAGCTAGAGTTTTTAGTGCAGTTGTTATCTTCAAGCAGAATGTAAGGCATGGAGTTCATTTAAGTGCAAGGGGAGGGAAGAAATAGAAAGTAAAACTTAACATGGAAGGTCATTCTGTTATAATAAATGTTTAATCACTAAGAGAAACAATGTAAATAGAGTGAAAATCAAATAAGCTTCAGCCCAGGAAAAAGTAGCTCACCCTATTATAATTTCCTTCAGTAAAGCTTCAGTCCCCATAGACCCAATACCCTGGTCCTGCTCAGCTTGATCCTTAGCCTGAGAGCTGTAGCAAGATTTGAGGCTGCAAGCTGCAGTACAATGCAGCTCTTTCCTCAGTCCCAGCTTCTGAGGAACATCCTACATTAAGAAAGCTAAGAGACTTAGGTAATAAGAAAAGACAGTTCTAGGAGCTATAGCTTTTCCCTGCCCTTCTATGCTGAATAATTAAAATAAGAATTGCAGAATTTAGCAGTTTAAACATATGATGATGCTAATTTTAGATAAACTTACTTTGGAGACCAGAGGCATTATCAGTTTGCTAAGACACGGACATAAAATATCAAGTTATACCTTCAAGGTCAAAAGTGTTGTCTCAGAAAATTGCACTCACTATTGAAAAGTGTGACTTGTGAAGGTCAAATGATAGTTTAAATCTGGCTGGAAATATTTTCTTGTATGTATTTTGACTGCCAAAGAGAATTTGGAACTTGTCTATGTCTAGCTATTTTAGAAACATCTCTTTTATCTCTGTTTGCTTCCAACAGCTTTATTTGTTCACTGTTGAACCACGAAAAGAAATTACATAATCATAAATATTACTCTACAAGCTGCTGACTCAACTGTTTCCTTAATGTATATAGTACAACCAAAGCTATTTCCCAAAGACTGCAATATATTTATACATCCAGATTACTGATGAGGAATAACATCCTCTTAACTTTTGTTCCTGATTCGATTTGGCTACAATTATAATACCTAATCACTAATAGCAATTTTAAATCCAATTTAAAATAAACTTTGTATAACTGTGGCTTAAAGTTTTTAGGAGCTACCCAAGTTATTACAAACTATGTGCAAACCATTTCGTCTACATGCTACCAATGCATAGAAGTAGTAAACTTTTAAAATGTTATTAGCATTTTAAATTTTTTAATGTACTACTGTTTTAATTACTCCTAAACATCTGATTAAAGTTATTCCCTATACAACAGATTAAAGTTATTTCATCAAGGAACACTTCTGTTGGCTCAGTCGTGTCATTCCCATATATTCTGTTGCAAAGGCATTTCTGACCCAAGGTATTAAAATTATTCAGATGATTTGCATACGTTGTCCATTTTTTCAAATACCTTGATAGTCTACTTCATTTTAATTGTAAATTCATATTCTTAGAAAGTGTAAGCTTGTCTGGAAGAATTGCTTGACTGGAAGAAGCTTTCAAGTGATAGAACTACCTTAAGTTTATATTTGATTGTAGAAATTATTACTGAAATGTGGCTTGGGTCATGGGATTATGAGGTTGTATCTATAAATCAAGATTAATTCTAAAATTACTCCAAATAACTATCCCCATTACTTTTTCCCAATATTTTTTCCTTTGTTATAGCACTCAAATTGAATTTTCAAATTCCATGGTCTAATTTCAGAGAAACCACTTGCAAGTGGTCTACCATAATTTTGGTTGTCTTTAATAATGCAAAATTAAACTATATAGCACAGCAAAGAATCAATAAAGCAAATAGTCTTCATTACTTTCTTGAAGTATTAGATTATATTTTCTCATATTTAAAAGGCTTATTTATCAAGTAGAGACCATAAGGAATTTAAGGGAGCTGAAATCTCACAAAATTCTATAAGAATTTAGTTTAATATGATGAGTAAATTAGCCATTGAATCTCAGATTCCTGAATTTTCTGATAAACATACTAATAAGTGATATGAACTCTCACAGGTAGAAAATTGTTTATCATTAATATTACTAAATGACACCTTTTCTGTCTCTCAGTTTTCACTAAAAAAAAAAAAATTCTACTTGTGTCTCAAAATTCCTGACACAAGAAATAGTGCCCATAATCCTCAAATTCTCCTTGGGTGCCTTGATAGAGATGCTCAGTGTTTTAATAATGCATTCATGAGTTTCATGCATCAGAGTTATCTACTTATGTTTCTGAAGGCTTCCTCACATCTTTATAATTGGAGGTTTTATAGAGCTATAAGCATAGAGTGTTTAATCTGACTTTGAAGGGAAGGAGAGAAGAAAGAGGAGAAGAGGGAGAGAGACACATTGAGAGAGGGAGGGAGGGAGAAAGAGAGGGAGGAAGGAAGGATGACAGAAGGAAGGAAGGAAGGAGGAAGGGAGAAAGAAAAGAAAGAGAGAGGGAGGGAGGGAGGGAGGAAGGAAGGAAGGAAGGAAGGAAGGAAGGAAGGAAGGAAGGAAGGAAGGAAGGAAGGAAGAATATAGTTGTCCAGAACTGAAAATTCCAAGTGTAGACCTTTAGAAAGTGTTTCTAGTAAAAGGCGGCATTTTTTCTGAAATGAAAAAGAAAATTCTCCCAGCTTCTCAGAAAGGACACAGCATTAGATAAAATTTCACATGTACAACTTTATTCTCTTAATTTTTATTGAATTAATGTGGTTTTGCAAGAAACAAACTTCACTTGTCAACAGAGTACATGAAAAATTGTGAGTCAAGATATTACCCTGTATATTTATATTGTCTTTCATATAGAGGATGGTAAAGTTCTCAAATCCTTCTCTAGGAAGAGGGGTTCCTGTTAGTACTCTCTATAGTGCTCTCAAGTGTATTATATTCTACATGCCATGATGCACCTAGTCAACCTCTAATATCTTTGGAACTTCAGACATTAGGAAGAGTTGTATGTGGAGTACCAAATCACATGAAAGAATGCTATCTGAAATATTTAGATGAGGTCACAAAACTCTTTGTGTAGCCTTCGAATTGCTAGTAGAATTTCATAAATGATTAATATATTTTTTTAAAAAACTTGAAGAAGACATTTACAGATAGTAGAGAAATTGACCTTTGCCATGGGCAAAATAGTTAACGTTCTGCTGAACACATAACTGCTTGATGTTATCAAAGTCACAGGGTCAGTATCTGGTGTTCAAGCACAGGTCTTCTGATGACAAGCTCAAGGGTCTTTTCCCTATTGTCACTTTCTAGGTTAGGCCTTGGAGAATTCACTTATACTCCTCAAGTATCAGGTACCTCACACATAAAATTGAGCCTAATCTCTGTTTATCCTATTGTTTTATAAGAATTAAATAAAAATATATGAAAAATGCTTACCACACTGTGCCTGGCACATGGTAAGCTTCCCATATATGATAATTGTTATCATTATGTTTATTACTTCCTCTTCATCATGGAAAACTGGTTTTTAAATAGACTAGTGGAAAAGGTGTTTGTGCCTTTCAAAATACATTTGTTCACAGATCCACATCATTACTTCAGTTCTACCAAAGTAAACATTTTACAAGTTGCCTTCTTTGTCCTTCTTGAATTCACAAATTTAAATTTTCCCAATATTAAACTTTATGTGATCACTTCTGCTTTCCTTATAGAAACTGCAGCTTTTCAACTTTAGGTGGTATTTTCCCCTAACATACTTATTATGTGAACCAAGATAAGCCAGTTTTTTAGAAAGAATAACTCAGATATTAAAACTATTTCCATAAGTTTCATAAGTCAAAATATTATAAATAAGTAAAAATTAATAAAGTAATACTGTAAAATTATCAACTTTCTAAAAAGATAAAATATTTTTAATGTTTTTATTAGATATTATAATTGTACAGGGAATTTCTTTGTGACATTTCCATGCATGCATCAATGTACCCTGGTTTGGTTCATCCTCTCCATTATTCTCCCTCTTAAAGTGACTTCAACAGGTTTCAATGTTCCGTAGTCACACATGTGTAGAAAATCAACAATTGTTAGAAGTTCACCTCTGTGGTGAACCTTCCTACTCAGCGTTGGCAGTTTCTGTTTCCTCTGTGTCCCAAATGCTGCCTCTGCCTAGTTTACTGTATGTTACTTTTTGGCAACATGCCTCCCTCCTTCATCAGACAGCTTTTCAACTATGTAATGTTTTGACTCTAGGTATTGCCTGGCACATAGTAGGTGCTTAAAATTATTTTTGTTGACCAAATGAGGAACAAATGAATAAGAATTATGAGACACTTTCAAATTGCCACTATCATAATGAGGATTTCTCAAATGGCGTGACATCCATTAGCACCACAAGACACAATGAACATTAAATTAATTAGATGATCACTTTCATACTGTATTGTTGGCATAAGCCAAATTACAGTTCACAGAAGTTAAGACATAACAGGACTTTAGTGTAGATCACCTTGGTCAATCTCCCATTGGACAAATGAGGAAGTCAAAACCCAGAGCTTTGGCATTGTGTGTCTTAGGTTCCATGGCTGGTGAGGGCCCATTTCTCTTGGCTGATTCCCTCCTTTTCTTCAAATTTGCACCCATTTGTTATCTTTTAATGAGGTCTCCCTGGGTATTGTACTGTGCACCTTGTTAGCCCCCAGTCTCTCTCCTCCCTTATTTTACTTTTTCTCTGTAGCACTAGCTAAATACTTAACTTATTTTTAGGTAATTGTCCATTATCTATGAAGGACATATAGTAGTTCCATAAGGGCAGGAATCTTGGTCTGATATATTCAGTCACTAAAACCAGTATCTGTCACATAGATGATCAGTATGTGT